GGGTCTGCTTCTCCCTCTGCCCTCTTCCGTCTCGTGCTCTCTGTCTCTCATTCTCTCTCTCTCAAATAAATAAATAAAATCTTTAAAAAAAAAAAAACAAAAAAACAGGAAACAATAAAATGGTGGACCTAAATTCAAATATAATAATTACATAAAAAATTATATAGAAATGGTCTAAAAACAATTTAAAGACAAGAGACTGTCCAAAAAAGGGTCCATCTATATACTATCAACAAGAAACTCACTTTGATATGATAAAATGACTATGTTAAAAGTAAAAGGATGAGGGATGCCTGGGTGGCTCAGTGTGTTAGGCATCCTACTCTTGATTTTGGCTCAGGTCATGAGCTCAGGGTCATGAGATCAAGCACTGCACTGGGCTCTGCACTCAACACGGAATCTGCTTGTCCCTCTTCCTCTGCTCCTCCCATCACTCACACGCTCCCTCTCTCTCTCTCAAATAAATCAATAAAATCTTAAGGGGTGCATGGGTGGCTCAGTCAGTTAAATGGCTGCCTTCGGCTTGAGTCATGATCTCGGGGTCCTGGGATGGAGCCCCACATCAGGCTCCCTGCTTCTCCCGCTGACCCTCCTCCCTGCTTGTGCTCTCTGTCTCAAATAATAAAATCTTTAAAAATAAATAAATAAATGAAAGCTTTAACAAAAAGCAAGTTGGGGCGCCTGGGTGGCTCAATCGGTTAAGCATCTGCCTTTGGCTCAGGTCATGATTCCAGGGTCCTGGGACTGGCCCGCATTAGGCTCCCTGCTCAGTGGAGAGTCTGCTTGTTCCTCTCCCTCTGCCCCTCCCCCCATTTGTGCATGAACACGCACTCTCTAATAAAACTTTTTTTAAAAGGATGAAAAAGGTCGGGCGCCTGGGTGGCTCAGTTGGTTAAGCGACTGCCTTCGGCTCAGGTCATGATCCTGGAGTCCCTGGATTGAGTCCCGCATCGGGCTCCCTGCTCGGCAGGGAGTCTGCTTCTCCCGCTGACCCTCCCCCCTCTCATGTGCTTGCTCTCTCTCATTCTCTCTCTCTCAAATAAATAAATAAAATCTTTTACAAAATAGATAAATAAAATAAAATAAACTTCTTACAGTAATGCATAAATAGGCCAACCACACACACACACAGCTGAAAAGGATGTACGATAAACATTAAGTCTCCTTCCTCTGCTCCCTAGTCTTTTAATCCCTTGCTCTAGAAATAGAATAACCATTGTTACCAGATTCTGGTGCCCTTGAGCAAGTTAATCTCTCCGTGCCTCAGTTTCCTCATCTGTAAAATGGTAATAATATCATGTATATACATGCCCTTTTTTTACGCATGTGGTAGTATACTAGGCACTATATACTATACTGTATATACTATACTGTACTATGTACTATGTACTA